AGCCTATTATGTGGAGTCTCTCAGTCCTGCCTTACTCAATTATTCTTCAGTATAACTTTTTTAAAAGTGTGAGTGAAGCCCTGGCTGGTGTAGCTCAGTTGGTTGAGCATCATTCCATGCACCAAAAGGTCACCAGCAGTTTGATTCCCATTCAGAACACATGCCCAGGTTGTAGGCTCAATCCCCAGTAGGGGGCATGCTGGGAGCAGCCAATCAATGTTTCTCTCTCTCCCTCTCCCTTTCTCTTTCTCTCTCTCTCTTAAAATCAATAAAAAAAATATATATTTTTTTGTAAGTGTGAGTGGGGCCCTGTCCGGATAGCTCACTTGGTTAGAGTGTTGTCCAGATACACCAAGGTTGTGGGGTTTGATCCCAAGTCAAGGCACATACAAGGGTCAACCAATGAATGCATAAATAAGTGGAATAACAAAAATTGATGTTTCTCTCTCAAATCAATTTTTTTTTTAAGTGAGAGTGGTTCAGAAGATAATTTCAAGTTTTTCAAGACCTCTCGAAAGGTAGAAGAGGGTAAAGTGGGGATAAATGGTGACAAAAGGACACCTGACTCTGGGTAGTCAATACAATATACACATGATATAATATAGAGCTGTACACCTGAAAACAATATAATGTTATTAACCAAGGTCGCCCCAACAAATTCAATAATTTTTTTTTAGTATCATGAAGTGATGAGGTCTTTTTCTTTTTTTTCTCTATTGATTTTAGAGAGAGAGGAAGAGAGGAGAGATAGAAACATCAATGAGAGAGAACATCGATTGGCCGCCTCCTGCATGCCCCCCACTGGGGATTTGGCCCACAACCTGGGCAAGTGCCCTGACTGGGAATCAGACCAGTGACCTCTTAGTGCATGGGTCGATGCTCAACCACTGAGCCACACTGGCCGGGCAATAATTTTTTTGAATAATATAATTTGGAAACAAATTTGTTTCTTTATTGGTTTTAGTGAGAGAGAAAGGGAAAGAGAAGACATGAAACATCGATCAGAGAGAACATTGACTGGCTGCCTCCTGCGTGCCCCCTCACTGGGGATTAGACCCACAACCTGGGCATGTGCCCTGACCAGGAATCAAACTGGCGACCTCCTGATGCATGGGTCAACCACTGAGCCACAATGGCTAGGCATAATATTTTAATTCAATTATACTGAAAAACAAAAACAAGAACTCTTGACTATTCTACTGCTAAAGCAAAAACAAGTGTCTCACTTCCTTATTCCTGTTAACTACCAAAAGGTCAGAGAGAAAAGTGACCACCTTAGGTACTGAGTAAGATGTGCTCCAGAGTAAGATGCATTCCAACAGATTAATAACTTCGATCAATTTCTACTCTTGGGAATGCACCCTGTATTTACAGGTAGCTTGAATTTGTTGGAAACACAGAGAATCACGAATTCCAGAACTGCCCACATTCTTGTTTCTGCTTGAAACAACAACCCAGTGAACCCACAAGGGCCAACACTACTGAAGATGCATGCAGAAAAGGAAGGGGGTCAACATTTTAAGAAACTCCTAAATGACAGATGTCCATACTTGCAAAGGGAAATTCAAAAATTTTAAATTACTTTTGTAGACAAGAAGTAACAAAAAGCAAAGTGGAATTTGTGTCAGAAAACTGAGTTCCAGCCTTTCCCCGAAATGTGGCGCCTTAAACATATCACTTAATAAGGCCTTGCCTTTCACTATGTTAATGCTCCAGAGGATCCTTGGAATCTTAAGATAGAGTATATTTTAAAACCCGTGTGAGGAGCCAATTATCATCAAACCAGGAAAGCGTTCATTCATTCAACTAATACTATATTCAATGACCAACCACTGTGTGTTGGGCACTGACTGAAGCCCTGTGACCAATAAACGTGACATTCAAACTGCCACAAACAGGCTACATGTTCATTCCCCTCACATCCTCCATACTGGTTTTTAACCCTTTTTCTTAAAAAAAAAAAAGGAGGGGGGTGGGAATACCAACATAAAATAAGAAAGAAAATGGTAACAGTTGCTTTATATCTGTAAAATTTTTGTTATTGTTGGAGACAGAAAAAAAGTTGAGCTATGTTCCTTTGCCTGGCAAGAGAAGAAAGACATTTCTCACCCCCTCCCCCTTTCTCCCCATCCTGCTAACATCTTGCTTTCTCTGGATATTTTCAAGAGTTCTAAAACTACATGTTCCTGGCTTGTCCATCAGGTGAGTCAGCATCATAAAAATCACTACGATCAGTAATAGAACCTTACGGCAACACTTGTCTTTCCACCTCTCTAGAGAAAAGGTGATTTTCGCTACTATTTTATGTCAGAGTGCTTACCTTATTCTTATCATCATCAGTATACTAAAATGAAAATGGCTTATCTAACCTTAGGTAAAAAATGTTCTCTATTAAGACTGTCTAGCTTTATATCTATCAAGTTTAGTTCCTTAACTCATAAATCTTATCAGAAATTTAACAATCAATTCTTTAAATAAACCAAAATACCTACGAGAATTCAATTTAGAACATTTCTTTCTCCACCTGGCAAATAAGTCCTATAAGTCAGCATGTGTTATGTTAGAAGAGAAAATATACAGGCAATATAGCTTCAGAATACACATATTAAGCTCTCCAAGCAAAAAACTAGGCCTTACTGTCTTGATTTTAGCAAAATACTTCACAATACATATGTCAGACTAATCCTAAACACTAAATAAGTAACATTATATGCATATAATGTTAGATAAATATTACATTAATGAGTATAACACAAATAGTGTATTATACCTCTATAAGCCCAGAAAAAACATAATTTTTAAAAATATGTTTTTACTGATTTTAGAGAGGAAGGGAGAAAGAGAAACATTGGCTAATTCCTGCACACCCCAAGTGGGAAACCCCAGCATGTGCCCAGACCAGGAATCCAACCAGCGACCTCTCAGCACATGGGACAGTGCTCAAACAACTAAGACATACTCGCCAGGGGGAGATGTTTTTATTTTAAAGCACTAAAGCATCTTCACACCTGCAGAATCCAAGAACCAGCAAGTTTTCTGCAGATTACTAGTCAACTCTGGAAAACAGACTTCAAACCATCACCACCTCTGACAAGCTCTAGTCCAAGTGTCAAATGGTGATAGCAACATAAGTGAAAGGAGAAAAATACAAAGTAAAGAACAAAAAGAAAGGGGAGGCCAAGAAAGAAAGAAAAGAAAAGGAAAACGAGCACAATAGAATGCAATTCTTCCATAACCGATGGGGGGAAGGAGGATATTTCTGATTTCCAAACTTCACAGCAAACACTCGCCATTGAAATACACTCTACTGAAAACAAGAGATCACCTGCTATGGACTGAATACTTGTGACCCCTCAAAAGTCATATGGCGAAGCCCTAAAGTGATAGTATTCAGAGAGAGGGTGGGGGCCTTTGGGAGGTAATCAGGTCATAAGGTGGCCCCATCATGGGATTAGTGTCCTCATAAGAGTAAGAGAGACGGCCCTTTCATGTAGGACAATGCAAGAAGTCAGCTGTCTACAAGCCAGGAAGTCCAGAAAGGTGTCCTCACCAGAACCCAACCATGGGGCACCCAGATCTCCAACTTTCAGCCTCTAGAACTGTAAGAAACAAACATTTATTTAGGCCATGGTACTTTTTACAGCAGCCTGAGATGGCTAAGACATCACTTAAAGTGACTAATTAGTAAACAGTGCAGACTTGAACAGTAGAAATAGAGGGGACCACCTCTACTGCACCAGGACTTCACTAGGGATCACTGTTGCCCATCATCAGCCCCTCTCCCCTTCTTCTGGCTTGGGAGTTGACCGATCGAAAAGACTAGAACTTCCTCATCATAAAAAGAAATTTGACCTCAGAAAGTGGTTCAAGAAACTTCAAAGATCTGGCAAGGAAACCCTAGCACATTACTTGGTCCCCACCGGTCCCATAGCTCATCATCAACCCGTTAAGGACTTTCCTTGCTTCTAGTCTCCAGGACTAAGTTTGATAGCAATGTTTGGTGCACGCCTGTTGTTTTTAGAGCAACCAATTTGTTCCATTACAGCCTTCTCTAATCTGATGTGAGCCTGGCTGGGTTGGCAGTGCTTCCTGGTGTGGCTCCAGGACCAGGAGGCCACAGGCTCTAGAGCCAGACTTAGAAGTCCAGCCCAAGTGCCCGGTTTGGGGAAAGCCTCTCTGCAAAATACGGCCACGGTCGGCAAAACTGGCCTAAATTCCCTGACCATCTTTTCCCAAGTCATGCTTCCCACGGCATGCTTCCTCCAAAAAAGGAAGAAACCCGCCTAAGGCTCAGCTCTCGCCCGCTAATATTTACCTATCACAGGAACTTGTTCGCAAAACAGACTCGAGGAACCTATAAAGTTGACTTTACAGGAAATGAACAACCTTGACACCCGCACCCAAGATTTAGTGAGCGCCTACTATCGTCAGGCCCCGCGTTTCTCTTAGCGCCCCCTCCCCACCAGAGGCGCGCGGACCTGGAAGGTAGGGGACGCCAGGTCACCACGGCCACCCCCAGCTATTACACAGCCCTCCGAGCCGCGCAGGGGGCCACAGGCCACCAAATTAACCAACACAGAGGGCAGCGCGAGGTCCCGACCGTTGACTGCAGGGGCGCGAAGGGCGTCCCGGGTCGCAGGGCAAACTCCGGGAGTAGCCAGGGGACGCCTCCTCGCCGGGAACTGCTCCCCCGCAGCCAGCCGCCCGAGGCGGAGCCGCAGAGGCCATCTGGCGCAGAGGCAGGAGCCGGCCATCAGCCTCCCCGCCCTTCCTTCTTCCCTGGCCCCGGGCGCCCCGGCGCTCGCCCGCGCGCCCACGTGCACAAACGCAAGGCACGACCCTAGCATCCAAAGGGGCAAAAGCCACTTCTCCGCCGCCCCCCTCCTTCCCGGCGAACATCCCCGCCGCGCGTAGACACGTGGCGTCGGGGGTCCCGCCGCCCAGGGACCCCCGGGCGCGATGGGACGGGGGCTGCAGCGCCCGCCGCGAGCACCACTCACTTGCTGGCCGGAGCGGGGCTTGCCCTGGGGCGCTCTCTTGAAGAAGGAGGTCCTGGCGGTGAAGTAGAAGTCCTCGGCGTCCTCCTCCAGGCTGCTGTAGCCGCTGCTCATGCTGCTGGTCCAGTCGCGCGCCGGCCGCCTCCCCGGGGCGCAGGCGGCCAGGCAGGGGGTGCCGCGCCCGCCCGCCCCGCGAGGTTCTCGGCGCGCGGCCCCGAGCCGCCGACGGGCCGTCCTGCTGCAGCTGCGACCGCCGCTCAATCCAGCCTTCCCGGCCCCTCCCGCCGCCTCCCCGCCGGGCTCCTGGCGCGGCCCGGGCAGCGAGCGCCTCGCGGCCCCGCCTCCCGGGGCCCCGCCCCGCCCGCGTGCCCCTCCCTGGGCGGCTCGGGACACGCCCCCGCGCGGCCGCAGGTGGGGACGGGCCCGCCGCCCCTTCCCGGGGTGTAGAACCCGGAAAGCCTGGTCTGTGTTCGGGGTCGTTTCCCCAACCTCCCGGAAACTGCCAATTCCTCTGTGATCAGCCCACCGCCCCCTCCCGGGGTCCAGCGGCTGGTGGTGGAGACTGCCCCGCCGAGGGGCCCCTGACCCTCGGGCGTCCTGCCGCGGGTTCGCCCGGTGCTGAACTCCCGCAGCTCGCCCCTCCAGGAGGGCTGCAAGTTAGCTGTGCTCAGCGGGGACGTAACAACTGAGTTGTTTATTCAAATGAAAATATCCTGTTAATTCAGTTGAGCTTCGGTCTTCCCCTGTGAACCCTCTCTCTAGCGAGTGTTCACTCCCAGATTAGGACAGCCAAGGTCGTTAGGATCGCAGAGGCCACTTGGTGCAAATGGGGGGGGGGGGGCGCGAACTAGTTCTGTAGTTCGAGTTTATTAATTAAACGTGCTTTTTAAATGTCTCCTCCCACAATCCGCTTTAAACCGACGAGGCAAGGTTTCAGTGATGGAGGTGAGGAGTTCAGGGAATTCTTTTCACCTCCCATAAAAAATAAAAAGTTCCAAGTTTCCTGAAATCCTTCCGTCAGGTAATCCTCTTTTTAAATGCAAAATTTTCCTCCTAGCCACCTGTGGGTACCAATCGGTTACTCTTTTCTGTTATTGGGTTGATTTAAATAACGCGTTTCCTTTCCGAGATTCTGATTGGAAAGCGCTTCCTTGCAGCTTCAGCACTGCTGTGGTAAGCAGGCGTTAAGAGAGGTTTCATTAGGAGGGAAAGAGAGGGGTTAGGAAACAAAATTTTCACCCATTGTAGCTGAACTTTCTTATATCTCTAATCCTCAGAACAATTTTATAAGGTAGATAGTACTATATTATGCTCAGTTTACACCTAGCGCAGGCCTAAAGAGAGAAAAGTAGTTGTAGGTGGCAGGGCTGGGCCTATCCTGATCTGAAGTTTTTCTGACACCTCCCTGGTCAGCCATGATCATTTGAAGACTAGGGGGAGGGAGAATTGTTCCGGAGATGATGGGAAGGAGGGGTTTGGCTCTTGAGTTATCTTATTCCCCGCAAAAAAAAAAAAAAAAAAAGGCTTGCAAACCTACTCTCCCTTCCTTCAGGCTTACCCAAACATCCAGCTTGTTAACTTGTGTATTACCCCACGTTACTCATAACTCCATGAGGCGGCTATGCAGTTGCAGCCCATTTTAAAGATCCTGCAAGATAAAGCCTCTTCTCAGTGAAGAGAAGGGGAGCTTGTCAATCCAAAATATGACTTCTTTTAGGTATTATTTTATGCTAGTTGTTTCAAAAAAATGACACAAAAAAACCCTTCGACCTTCTCCCTAACTGCTTAAGTATTTAGATAAAGGATCTGCTCCTTTATATCTATGTAGTTATCATATAGTTATCATATAGTTTATAAATTAGGTGTGATATGGAGGAACCTAGCATGGGCCCTTGGATCAAAGTTCTCTCTGGTCCGTTGTTAAAGATGGCCCAGCAAACCCTGCCTATGTGGCTAAGTGGTTGAGCTTGACCCATGCACCAAGGAGTCACCAGTTTGATTCCTTGTCAGGGCACATGCCCAGGTTATGGGCCAACTGCTCAGTGCGGGGCATGCAGGAGGCAGCCAATCAATGTTCCATGTTTCTATCTCTCTCCCTTTCCCTCTCTAAAATCAATAGAAAAAAAAAAAAAAGATGGCCCAGCAAACACTATTTTACCAGACATTTACTTTTCTGTCTCCATGTGAACTGCCTTGTGTCCCTTTGAAGTCCCAAACCATAACCCTCCTTCTTCGCCCAGTAAGTCCTATAAGCCTTAACTGCCCAATCTGTCCTGTTCTCATATTCTTATGGAACCTTCGTATGTACATATGTAATAAATTTGGTCATTTTCTCCTGTTAATCCGTCTTATGTCAATTTGATTATTAGTCCAGTCTAGAAGAACTTATAAGGGTAGAAGGAAAATTATTTTGCCTCCCCCATTAGCCACACAGCTACTGAATAATTAGAAATAAAAAATTCTAATTTCACATTCTTTTGCACAATCTAAGCTGATCCCAGCGTATGCCATGCACATAACCTAGTATAAGGTTACTTACTTTTGATAGATTTTAAATTTGATTTCCATTATTTCATTAACATAATTCTTATTAAATACTCAAATTTAAGAGTAATGTATAAGTTTAAGAATTTAAATAACTTGTTTTATTGTAGATGGAAAGGGGGAAATAACCCCACCCAGAACAAATTATTTTTTAGTTTCGGAATACTTTGAAGAAAAATATTAGAAGGAAAAATACATTAAAATGCTTTATGATCCACCATACGATAAAAAGGATTTTTTCATGGCGTTATTTTATAGGCTCCAAAAGGCTTAATTAATTTTTGTATTTGTTAATGCACCATCAGAATCAGTTATAACAAAAAGTCATAATTGAATAATGAAGTAGAAGCACTGCATTTAAACAACAGAAAGGAAGGAAGGAAGAATTGGCATTCTGTTTCCTAAAAGCAGCATCATAATCATATTTCTATATTTTCTGATAGTATTCTTAATTTTAAAATATGAACTTAAAATTTGGTTTATGAAATTAGTATTTCATAATGTCACGATTCAAAATGTCACAATAAACAACTAGATATTTTTCATATTTAAAATTTAGTGAAGGGGTGGAATAAAATGTATGCATCCAAGTACAGTTTTAAAAGGACTTACTGTCAAACACAGAATAGAATGTATAAGTGGGCTCTATTATCATAAATGTTCCAGGGACACAAAAGCCTAATGATTTCAATTTATAGCCTAGTAACCTTTTCTTTGAATGGATAACATATTTAAAACTTAATAAACATATGCAAATATGAGCACAAATGTTTTATAATTTTAATCATCCTGTACATAAAATTATTTTCCTTACATTAATGTAAAAGGAGAGGCTTTAGTAACAGTTTACCCTTCTTGCTTAGCAGATAAACCACCCAGGAGAAAAATAATTGTATAAGTGTAATCACATATCAAAAAAAAATTTTTTTAGCTTTTTTTTGCATTTGTCTTCAGATCCAGCAGGAGAGAGAGAGGGGGAAAGAGAGAGAGAGAGAGAAACATTGACGTGAGAGAGACACATCGAGAGGTTGCCACCCACACGACCCCAACCGGGGCAGGGACAAACCACAACCAAGGTATGTGCCCTTAGCGGGAACTGAACCCGGGACTCTGGGTCCGCAGGCTGACTCTCTAACCGCTGAGCCAAATTGACCAGGTCACATATCAAAAATTCTTAATCTTATTCAGATTTTTTAAAGAAGTACATATCTGCAAATAGTAGAAATTTGAATATAATAAATGTATAAAAAAATTAGGCACCGCTCACCCTTTGACTAAAAATATTTAGGAGAAAAATTTTTCTTTTGTCAACTTGTCCTTATAAAACACAGTATCAAAAAGGGAAATATTGCCCTCTCAGTGTGGCTCAATGGATTGCGCGTTGTCCCATGGGCTGAGAGGTCCAAGTTTGATTCCCAGCCAGAGCACAGGCCTGGATTGTGAGCTTGATCTGCCGTGGGGGATGTGCAGGAGGCAGCTAATCATTGTTTCTCTCTCACATCTATGTGTCTATCTCTCTCCCTTCCTCTCTCTACAAAATAAATAAAAGCACATTTTTTTTAAAAGGGGAAATATTTCTAGATTTGACTGTGTAACAGTTTAAATATTTTTCACACACGTACCTACACACAATGGGGGAAAAGCTAGGGGAAATATGCGCCATGAAATTAATATCTTTACAACGTAAAGAGTTTATACAAATCATTAAAAACTTAGAATACCTAATGGAAAATTAACCAAGGATATGACAATTAGTTCATAAAAGGAGAAAAATAAATAATATAAAAATATAAATAATTTATACATTAAAATAGTCACTCAGTCAACAAATACTTATTGAGCACACACTATCTACCAGACACTGATCTTAGCACAAGGGATACGTCATCAGACAAAATAAACAAAAATCCTTGGCATATATTTTAATGTTTGTTAGAGGGAGACAGGCAAAAGGAATAAGGGAATTATATAGTATGTTGGAAGGTAATAAATACTTTCACATAAACCATGGAGGAAAGATGGAGAATGTTTTTGATCCTCACCCAAGGGCATTTTTTTTTTTTTTTATCCTCACCCAAGGATATCCTTCCATTTTTTGTTCAGATAGAGTTGGGGGTTGGGAGGAGAGGGAGAGAGAGAGAGAAACATCGATGTGAAAGGGACACATCAAGCGGCTGCCACCCCCATGACCAACCAGGGCCGGGGACAAACTGCAACCGAGGTGCAACTGAGGTACATGCCCCCAGCGGGAACCGAACCCGGGTCTCTCTGGACCTCAGACCTACGCTCTAACCGCTGAGCCAAACCAGCCAGGGCCACCCAAGGGCATTTTTGCATATATCTTGAGATAGAGCAGGAGGGAGAGATGGAGGACGAGAGAAAGAAACATGGACATGAGAGAGACACATCGAGTGGTCATCACCCACACGACCCCAACCGGAGCCTGGGACAAACTGCAACAGAGGTACATGCCCCTAGTGGGAACCGAACCCGGGACTCTCTGGTCCGTGGGCTGATGCTCCACCCGCTGAGCCAAATCGGCCAGGGCTAAAGAATGTTTTATATAGCCCTGGCTGGTTTGGCTCAGCAGTTAGAGCATCGGCCCGCGGTCCAGAGAGACCTGGGTTTGGTTCCTGCTAAGGGCTTGTACCTCGGTTGCAGTTTGTCCCCGGCCCTGGTTGGTCGTGTAGGTGGC